AGTTTTTCAAAAAAAAAAAAAAAAAAAGAGTATTTGTTTAAATTGATTTTTTTATAAATGATTTGTTTGAGTAAAATTTTAATTTTTTTTATTATTTATTCTCCGACCACTCTTAAAAATAATTTTTAACTATTTGAGAAGTAATTTTATAAATCTTAATTAAATATTTTAGAAATGCAATAATTTACTTTTATTAAAAAAATAAAAATTTAAATAAATGACTGGAACAATCTAAACTATTTCAATTCAAAAAATTTACAGTGGGGTTAATTAAATTCATTATCGGATCAAAATTATTTGAATTAAAATATTTATAACCGGAACAATTAGATTAATTTAGATCGAGACGAGTTCAGAATAAGAAAAGAATAAGAAATGGGGTGTGAGAGGTTTTGAATAGAAGGCAAGTTGTAGCCCACAGAAAAAACCAAATGGAAGTAAACGCCAACCAAGCCATGCAAAGATGTGAAACCTACCCGACAACTTGGACCAGTCCTTTATAGTTTTAGATGAACCAAAAGTCAAGCCGCCGGGTCCCACTCTCATCAACTCTTCTTATTAAATCTACGAATTTGTTTGAGGAGACCGATAGCGCTATGTAACGAGTCAGAGCAGACAATATATGTTAGTGATAAGTATGGGTTGTTACAAATGGCATAAGAGCCAGATACTGAGCGGGAAGTGGATTGTGAGATCTCACATCGGTTAAAGAGGAGAATCACATTTGTTGTAAACGTGGAGAAACCTATTTCTAACTAACGTGTAATAAAATCATTGGTTGACGATGATACATAACAAATTAGTCTATTACAATATTTTACGAACACCTTTTATAGGTTATATGTTTAATTTTTAATATTGTGAAATCTTGTATTAAAGATTACAGGTTGGTGGAAGGTTCATAATTAGTGGAAACATGATGACAACACATATTATTATTTTAACTATTTTTGTTATCTACTTGTGTATGGGTATGATTTTGATTTGTGTTATTAAATTATGTAATTATTAAATTAAATTAAATTAAATTAAATTAAAGTGGGAGATGAGTAATAAGGAGTGAGTGAAGTGGTGGGGGTTAAGGGACAAAGCTATATAAAGGGGAGGAGAAGGGTGTTGTGATCCATCAAGGATGGGGAAAATGGGATCCTCAATGGCTCCTCTTCTTTTTACTGCCTTTGTGGCTCTTCTTTCCCTAAGCTTCCCATCAACCACCCATGCTAATTATGTGTATGCCTCTCCCCCTCCTCCTAAGAAGGTAGACTATCCGCCTCCAGTCTACCATTCTCCGCCACCACCTAAGAAGGTGTATTACCCTCCTCCCGTTTACTCACCACCACCGCCCAAGAAGGTGTACTACCCGCCTCCAGTCTACCACTCTCCTCCACCACCTAAGAAGGTGTACTACCCGCCTCCCGTCTACCATTCTCCCCCACCGCCCAAGAAGGTGTACTACCCGCCTCCTGTCTACCACTCTCCCCCACCACCCAAGAAGGTGTACTACCCGCCTCCAGTCTACCATTCTCCCCCACCGCCCAAGAAGGTGTACTACCCGCCTCCCGTCTACCATTCTCCTCCACCGCCCAAGAAGGTGTACTACCCGCCTCCCGTCTACCATTCTCCCCCACCGCCCAAGAAGGTGTACTACCCGCCTCCAGTCTACCACTCTCCCCCACCGCCCAAGAAGGTCTACTACCCACCTCCTGTCTACCACTCTCCCCCACCGCCCAAGAAGGTGTACTACCCACCTCCTGTCTACCATTCTCCACCACCGCCCAAGAAGGTCTACTACCCACCACCCGTCTACTCCCCCCCACCGCCCAAGAAGGTATACTACCCGCCTCCAGTCTACTCTCCACCACCACCCAAGAAGGTATACTACTCGCCTCCAGTCTACTCTCCACCACCACCCAAGAAGGTATACTACCCACCTCCAGTCTACTCTCCACCACCACCCAAGAAGGTATACTACCCACCTCCCGTCTACTCACCGCCACCACCCAAGAAGGTCTACTACCCGCCTCCAGTACACTCTCCACCACCACCAGTCTATTACTACTCATCCCCACCTCCTCCCCACTACTAGGAACTAAATTCCCTTCCACATCAAGGTAATTTAATTTTGTCACTAAATCACGTTGTCTTTTCTCCACATAACTAACATAATACTATAATATATATTGATTTTATAAAGAAAAAGAAAAAGAAAAGAGAAAAAAAAAAAAAAACAAAAAATTTCCTTTTAAAAGTTGGTCCAAGTAATAACATGGGTTTAACGTTGTTGTGATGCAGGAAGATGAGGTGAGCATACAGTATATGTCGAACTTAAAATAAGACGCTTTGAAAGATCTGAAGCACAGTGTGAAGTTCTTTTTCATATATTAATGTATCCGTTTTCAAATCCTACGTATTTGCTTCCAATCCTATGTTGTCTTGTAATGGAGCTCAGCTCAACTCAACTCAGCTCAACCTTTTTTTGCTCAAAGGGTTGTGCTTTATTTTATCTATATTTGCGTCTTCAGGAATGCATTGTCAACTTTCTTCCTCCCTAATTCAACTGAGCAATACTTTAAGATCCTCCACTTCAACTTACCTTTTTCGTCTCGTTGAATCAGACATAGATTTTCGACTCAAACGTTAGCTCCAAGTTTTGGATAACCCATTTAGTGGGAGCCGCTATCACCACAGAAAGCTCTCGTTTTTATCTCGATAAGATTTCTTCTACCTACTGAATTCAAAATCTCAAAACGCTGCCAAAAACTTAGTTTGAACTAATTCTACCCTGACTACATCATGAATTCAACCATTTGAATATCGAGAATATAATAGAGATTAAAATGTTACCTACCTAGAATAAACTTTAATATTAACTTTAAAATGTTTCTTCTTATGACATAAATGAGAGTTAGTTTTATATAATTTTTTATATGGTCGATCTAATCGAAGGAGGCCACCAAAATAAATAATTTTAAAAAATAATTTATTAAAAAAGATTGGTAAATGAAATTATTAAAATTATATGGTAACATTGAATTATTATTCTCTTTCTTCCATGATTAAATTTTACATAAATTTTGTCATTTGAAAGTCAACCTTAATTAAAAATTAGGTGGAAATTTGTAACATTATTTCAAAGCTTCTTTCTAAAAAATAATTTAAAATCAAAGATTTAATAAAATAAAATAAAGTCAATATCATACGACAATTATGCTTTTGTTTAGATCTCAAAAACATTAATTAATTAATTAATTAATTAATTACATACAGCTGTCATGCATAGGATCTTGTTTGGTTTTATTTATTTCCACCAAACATGAGATTTTATTATATGATTCTCTAATTTAATTTGTTTATAATAAATCCTTTTTAAAATAATTAAACATTTTAATTTCAATTCATCCATCAAATTTATAATCTAATCAATCTATAAATAATTATTTTATATAAATATAAAAAAAAATTAAAATAACAAACTAGACTTTTTCATCTACTCGTAGCTTCTTAAGACTAAAAACTATCCCTACGAGCCAATACGAATTCTTCTAATATGACCTGTCCTTACTCACGTGCTCCAAGTAAAGCATGTTTAGCCCTGAAGTTTTTATAACTGAGTCGTTGAAAAGGAAGGTGAACATTGTTGGTATATATAGTAACTTTCATGTCATTTAAGCTTTTTTTAGTCGTCATATTCTCCGGATCAAATGTGATCTCAATTTATTTATGTATCGGTTTTTTATTCGGGTATCACAAAAATAAAGAGAACCCGAGTAAAAACATGAGCTGGAATGAATTTGAATTTTGTTTTATTATTATTATTATTATTATTGCCAACTTGGTTTGATAATGTTTGAATTCATGGTATATGGAATATTATTTTATTATAATGTACAAAGAGCATGAATAAAAAGATGTCTCCATTCCTTTTCAATAATTTTAAAACAAAGGTCAAACTTCTTTAAAGATATTAATATTTTCATTTTAATCCTTAAATTTTAACATAATTTCAAAAGATACCCATCCACCATTTTTTTTTTATTAAAATCATGAACAATTAATGTATTTATGACATTATTAGTATATATATATATATATATCTTATGATATATTTTAAAGTTATAATAAAAGAGTAAATAATAATTTTAATTTTTTAAATATTTGAGTTATATCGGATATGTTTTTCAATTTTTACACATTAGTTGTCAAATCAATTTGTATCATTTATTTTAACGAACAATTCGAAACTTTAAGTCAACAATTTATTATGAATATCCTAAAAATCTACACTCCCAACCCCACACGTTTTCGAGAAAGTTATATTGTCGTATTGCTTTTTATTATTCAAAATTTCTTAAAAGTAAAATATGTTCATAAATTTGATGGAGACATTTAAACTTTTACACCTTATTGTTTACGTCAAGGGTTAGGTCTCCATTGTATATTGTTTTCGATGCATTTTCTTAATGAATTTCATTTAGTACTTAGAGCGTTCTTTGTAATCGTTTTTCGTTCGATTCAATTTTATCAACCTGAATGGGTTAGGGTAAATTTAATAGTTTGTTAGTTTGATTTTTTTTTTTGAAACTCCAACAATTGGAGATTAATATTACCTCGAGAAGAAATGAGAGGTTTGAATATTGGATCTCATGCTCTATATCATGTTGTTTGTATGTGAATTTAAACCTTCGACAGATATCAATTATTATTGAGGTATACTCATTTTGTATAAAGTTGCATGCCCATAATTTGAAGGTTCTTTTTTCAAAAGAGTAAAAATTAAAATATGATCGCATGGAAGATTACCCACAAACCAACACAAATTCTTTTAGTATGTTTTGTTCTTATCCACGTGTTCGTAAAATAATTTACAAGAAACTACCGACATATATAATTTCTCCAAACTAAGCTTACTTAACATTAAAGTTATAATATGATTAGAGAGTAATCAAAAGGAAGATGCACATGGATGTATAAGTAGTAACTATCAATTGTTTTTAACATTTTTAACCATTCTAATCTATAGAGATTACTCTCGTTCGGATATGATCTCAGTTCATTCACATACCTACTCTATATCATGTTAAACCATCAATCAACCCAAAAGTTTAAGCTAAACAATAACGAAGATTAATTTTTGAGAGTGTCATGTTAATTTGTATGTATTTTGGAGTAGGAAATTATGAATAGTTGATTTGTGATGTCCCACGACGGTTGGGGAGGAGAACAAAATACTGTGGAAACCTTTCCTTAGCAGACGTGTTTTAAAGCCTTGAGGGAAAGCCCGAAAGGAAAAGTCTAATAGGACAATATCGGCTAGCGGTGGATATGAGTAGTTACGTGATTGATGTGAAGTTGTCGGGATCATATTTATTGGTGAGGTATAGTTGAGAACAGTGGGGTTAGGTTCATAAGAACAGTAACAGTTTGTTGAAAAGTAATGAGAGATCTTAGCGTGAAACAAGAAGAAGAATCCAAGTTTGAATATATCAACGAAAATGGCAATGAGTGGATACTCTTTTTGTTTGATGAACGCTGTTATTTTTACTGGAAATAAATGAGTGATCTTCCTGCAAATTCATTTATGAATCTCAACTTAATTGGTTACACCAAAGTTCCATTAATTCAACTTGGATGCATTGGAAATTCTTCTGCAAAATTATGAAAGCAATACTGTTTAAACCCTAAAATACATATTCACACATGAGAAATATACACACCATTAAATTAGATACAAATATTTGAAAAATAAAACAATCTTTGATAATTCAAAAGATATCGTTAACATCGTTTATAATACAATCCACAAAATAAAAACGATGAGCTACTAATTATATAAATAATAATGCTATAAATAATATCATGTAACTCGTAGTTTCAGTACAATCATGTCAATTTTCATCCATTATAGAACAATTTCAAAAGTTAAAAGTGAAACTTTCAAAAACTAATCGATCAACGTAATAGTAGATTATATTCCATGGAACAGTTCATTAATTACTCCCTACACCGATCACTTTTTTGAAAAATGAGGTCTTTTGAGTCTATGGAAAGCGAAAAAAGAAAAAGAAAAAAAAAGAGGTATTGTTTTGGAGCTCTTAAGCTGTGATGAACTCTAATGAAATAGTTTCATTTGAATCCACAAATAACAAATCCTTCCAAATGAAGTTAGAAGTTAGGATTAATGCATACCAAAATTGAAATGATCGGACCTTTCAACATCCATGGATTTTAGAAAAGGTAAAATGGAGGAAAGTCAGTCCCCATTGTTGCTTCAACCTACTTTTCTTACTTAAAACAACAAATACTATCATTATTGTGCCCAGAAACTATACCTCAAATAAACATTCACGCAGCAAAGTTGGCTTCATATATCTTGGTCACCATTTCCATTTTAGCATGGCTGCTACAATAATCAAGTTTGATCGACTCAAATAGCTGAACTTGATTACAACTCTTCTTCTACCAATAATTCATAACCATTTGGAGCGAAAATTATCCAAATGGTCATTATAATTCCACTCCGAAACTTTCAATGGTGAAAATCAAGTCCTCGAAACTTCAAAAGAAAAAAATCGTATCTTGGCAAAACCAACGTCTTGAGTTTACAGGTGGAGAAGAGCAGACATGGGAATGCAGGCCAGCGTCACTAAGAGAGTCATTCCATTTAAGGACGAGCACAAGCCGTCTCTATATCTTTCAATAACAACATTAAACCCTGTAAAACTTAGAGCTCATCTTACTCTCTTCATCTCCCAAATTTCCCTTACCTTCGACTGTTAATTTTAATTACAAAGAGATAAATCAATAGAGATCAAGATTATCTTTCATTAATAATCAGCAAGTACAGAAATCAGTAATTTACCACTGATAGAAGCTTACTCTTGATGAAGTGAAGCAATGATTGCCCATTCTTAGCAATAGAAACAATCAATAAAAGGATGATATCTTACACTTCAATTTGTATTATTTTCTGCCCTTTTTGAGTAAATTGAGTACCTGCAACTTCAGATAGTTTTTCTAAAAGAAACCATTGATTCCTTTGTTAGCTAGCTCCACACTGCTTTTCCCTAGACCCCTTTTGCTTCATAGGAAGGGTGGTGCCAGCCAATTTGGAAAACTATCGATATCACTTTTCCCTGCTTTTACATTCAATAAAGACGTCTCCTTTACCACTAAACAACACTTTACCAAAATTCACGCATGATTTCCTAAAGCATAAACACAATTAAAGTTACTTGCAAGGAAAAAAATACATTTTGAGAAAGAAATCAGAAAGAATCTGATCGCCTACTAATAATTATATAAGATATTGCCAAATCTTCTATAATGTATGGCCTCTAAATAAGTGAGAAGAAGAAGCATGATGATGTGTTTAAGGAACAAAGCAAATATATACAACTATACAAGGTTAAGAAAGAGAAATGTGTGTTGAACAACTTGGAAGGCTAACAACAGCTCATTTTACTATATTTGCTGAAATATCCCGATGGGTCAAGTAATTTTGTAATGAGAACATGCTACTTCTTTTCTTTTTTTTTTGAACTGAGTAGCCTCT